ACAGTTTGTTGGTTTATTTTGCATTGTAGCATGAAGTGCACGAGATGCTGTCAGTTTCTGAATTCATCACATGCTGTGTTAACTTCCAATCTGACACACTGAGCTTTAATCTTCACTTTTAAAAAAACAGCAATCTTTTAGCTATCATAACCACTTCATTATCAGATTTTCACATCCCCCTCCGATTATCAAAGATGATAACAGTTTGTTGGTTTATTTTGCATTGTAGCATGAAGTGCACGAGATGCTGTCAGTTTCTGAATTCATCACATGCTGTGTTAACTTCCAATCTGACACACTGAGCTTTAATCTTCACTTTTAAAAAAACAGCAATCTTTTAGCTATCATAACCACTTCATTATCAGATTTTCACATCCCCCTCCGATTATCAAAGATGATACCATATATGTTACCTGTAAAGTTTTTAATCTCTGTTCGTTTATAAAAATGTATTCTAATTAAAAGCAATTAGATTAGGTGGCGGAACATTTAACGACTGACTCGTTTAACGAAGCCCACTCACAACACGCCGAGTGCCTAGGACTTGCTAAAATTCTTACTGTAAGATTTTGTGTGCATTTAACGCAGACTAGAAACCTTTAATAAAGGCCATTGTCTCTACAATTACTAACCTTATGTCTTCCTCTAATTTTGTAATTCCCAAGTTTCCCATCTGCGTGCATGATGAGTTTATCCATTCGGGACAGCAGGTAGCCTATATGTTCACATCCTTGTTCATTGCCCTCCACCCACAATATCTTGTCCCCGCGAACAGCCTTAGTACTGCCTGATTTTTGACTGGCCAGTGCTCCATCCTGGAATTTGTCACTCAGGTGCAGAGCCTGGACTTCTTGCAAGACTTTGTCTCCAAGTTTGTGTCCCAGGAAATTGTCTACTATGCACAAGCCATAGGAGTTCATGCAAGGCACTATGTACTGTAACACTAGTCTCTGGCCACTTCGGTGATCCTTAGGAGGCGCTCTTTTAAGAGGGGGTAGATTCAGAGGGCGCGCTCTGCAGGCACTAGACTCCCCTGCTTTCGCTGGGCAAGTGCCTCCTTCTGCGCATCTGGACGGATCGGCTCGCTGCGCCTCACTCCTGCCCTGGGCACGCTCGCTGCTCTCGGGGCTGTCTGCAGCGATCAAAAGGCTTTTCATGCTGGCTACCGGTTCGCCAGCGCCGGTGCCCATGGGCGGCTCGGCTCCCCAGCTCGTGGCCATTTGCAGAGCGGTCCCCCTGTCCCCACGCATTGCTCACATGCTGCCGCTAGTCCGGGAGCCGTGCGAGGGGATGGGAAGGGCCATGTTCCACCCACAGGATGCTACAGAGGACAAGCCGCCGGGCGGGAGCGTGCACACGTACAGGCGGGGGCGCGCAGGCTCCTCCGCCTCCGCCTCCACTTCCCTGTCGTGCCGCCGCCTCAGTCCCTGGGGGCCCGTGGCTGGGAACATGCCAGTTCCAGCGAAGCGCACGAAGGCTGGACGTGCAGAACGCAGCGGGAGGCCTCGCTGCAAGGTGTCAAGGGCACAGGCTGGGGACGGTGCTTGTTTGGCTCCCTACCCCCAGATCAGACCATCAAAAACACGGGGGGTGGGAGAGAGAACAATACAGAGACCTCCGCTTTAAGGAGGAGGTTCTGCACAAGCCTGGATTCCCTCACAGCCGCTTGCTGTAGCCCAGCAAAATGTTGGCCATAAAGCCCCATATTTTACCCTATTAAAAAGGTCTGGGTTCTCCTGCACCAACAAACTATAGTTTGGCACAGTGGCACCCAACTACCACAAAACCCCCAAACCAACACCTGGCTCTAGAAGAATGCTGCCAGATTGTGGTACCAACTGCCCAAATTGCACTGCCTGAATACATAACTGTAGCTGCCTCTGGTTCCATCAAAAATATCCAGCTGCCTTGCTGACAGAATATGTCAGGTCCAAAACCCCAGATTCAAATCCTAGGTTCACTGAGATCCGGGTAGTTTTTGCCCTCTAATCCCTGAATTTTACAAGGCACTGGTTTCTCTTGCACTGAAAAAAATCTGATGCAGGACTGCAAGAACTTGGATCATGCCAGTTTGAAACCTACATAATGCAAGCAGCTCCTATACACTAAAAATTCTAGACCTTGGTGCAAAAAAACAAAAAGATATTCGACATCTGGATTCTACATCCTATACACTAAAAATTCAAAACTTTGTTGAAAAAAAAGAAAAAGATATTCGACATCTGGATTCTACCAAATCCAACTAGTTTTAAACAGCTATGCAGAGAAATCACCTACTAAAATTGCACTGCAAAAATCCAGACTCCAAAGCACTGCATTCTATCTTATTTATTTTACAGGTAGCATTTGCAACAACAAATGCTATAGTTTGGGTTTCAAACACATTTCTATTACAGCTAAGCTATAGGATCAAATGGTCCCTGAGACTAGTACATGTCTGCAAGGAAGGTGTACATTTTCACCTGCTGTTTCAGGCTCTGTACAAGGAATAATCTCTGCACCTCATGGGATGCAAATTGTTCCAAAGAGGAGTGGAGAGAAGCTGGGAACATGACCCTATTACTCATCTGTACCAACACACCCAGTTGAGGAATAAGTTGTACCAATCCTAGGAAACATGTAACACATGTTTTCCCCCATCCCCTCCCCCCCTGCAGAATGGGGAGCACCCAAAGAGATTTTGCTTCCTAAAGTACTAAACAACTCCTGGAGCTGCATCACACAACCTACTACCATGGCAAAATGCCACAGTATAGCCCATAATAATGTTACAAATGTAACAAAATAAAGATGTGTGAAGCTAGGCTTATCTATAAACATCATCTCAACAGCTGGATGTTCAAAAAGCCTTATTCATAATTGTTGTGTTTCCCATATTCCTATACAGTAAAGTGTGTGTTGGTAGGATGGTGTTAATGGCTCTTGTTTTGAGATGACTTGCATAATTAATTAGCAAAGTAAAGCCTTTATACTACATTCTACATACCACTGTTGTAGTTTTTAAAAAGCCACATATTTTACAGTTATGCTATCTTAAAATTGAGGTTTAAACATTTTGGTATATTATTTTTCCTCTTCTCCTCCTATAAAAACAAGCTATTTTAATCCCATGAATCCAACTGCCTTACATAAGAACGGCCGTACTGGGTCAGACCAAAGGTCCATCTAGCCCAGTATCCTGTCTGCCAACAGTGGCCAGCACCAGGTGCCCCAGAGAGGGTGGACCGAAGACAATGATCAAGCGATTTGTCTCCTGCCATCCCTCTCCAGCCTCTGACAAATGGAGGCCAAGGACACCATTTTAGAAAACATGCCTTAGAAAACATGCATTAATATATATATATATTAATGTGATTTTAAGGTTTAATACTTCTTGATCTTATTGAGCTAAAAAGATGACACCCTAAATCTTAAATTCTGACTGTATGAGGGAAAGTTTCTACATCTGTGGTGTCCAACACAATAGCCACTAGCCACATGTGGCTATCTGGCCAGTTGAATGGCTAGTTGACTTGAACAATGTGGCTATTTGGCCAGTTGAGCGTGGCTAGTTTGACATCATGGTTCTAAACATTTCCCTCCATTGTTAATACCATTTCATCAAGTACTAGCAACAGTAGGATGCCCAGTATATACAATATATTGACTTTCACCACTGTTGTTAACAACATGCCATAACACTGCTAAATACAAATCTAATTGACACACAGTGGCCTTGTCCAAACTAGATTTTGGAAGGTGTGTTAGTTAACAAGTTAAGAGCCTAGTATTGGCTGTAATTCTTCTAGTTTAATAGTGTTAAAGGTACCTTGCTATGGCTACAGTAGGCAGTTAGTTAACCCATGTTAACACCTTCCAAATCCTACTCTAGACAGCTAATGTTAAAGGCTTTGTCAGGCTATCTGCTCCAGTATCGCTGATATTGGCAATGGAGATGTACCAGTGTCAGCAGCAGTGGGAAATTTTCTAAAAATGGACTCTGGTTCTTGTTGAAAACATGGCCGTAGAGATGTGAGATTCCTAGCACTCTAATGGGATTAAGCAACCGTATCTTCTTCCAATAGTCCACAAACTACTGAACCTTGAATATGCTGTGTGTCCAGGGCCAAATGTCATCTGTCATGCACCTCATGGAGAGGAATGGATTTTTTGTGGCACGTTGACTGTTCAAAGCCTCTCAGAGATTTGGATTGTTATAAGTAGGCCACCTGAAAATAGATCTGAAGATAGAATGCAAGGATGGCAAAGGTGCTTGAGAAAT